TTAAGCTGATTTCCTAATGTGCCAGGCTTCCTCCTCCTGCCCCAAGGAACCCATTGCTGATGCAGGAAACAGCTGCCTTCTGTGAGTACTGGGTGACTTTCCCACCAGGCATCCTTGGGGCAGGAGCTGGCTGGGTACATTAGGGTTTGTGGCAGTGGGGAGTATTTGGGCCACGTCCTTCTGCTCTGGGTTCTGGTTGCTTCTCCTCCTAGCTTGCCTGGTTAATTGGGAGGCTGTCTATACAGGGACTGGTGTCCCTGGTGATTTGTTGGTGAGAGTTGATGGAACCATCAGGGAGCTCCATCTCCAGGAGACTGGCAGTAGCATCCCTCCTTGAGCAAGGGACTTTGAGCCAAACTGAACCTGATTTCTAACATATAGTGACCACAGTAGATTTACGGGTGCTCAGTGCTTTTGAAAATGGAGGCCACATCATGCGGAGTTGGGCTCCTAGAAGCAGAGCCCCCTCAGGTTTTTGTGGCTTTAGGGAATGGATGGTGTCTGAGACTAAAGCAAGTGCTGTGAGGGTAGCAGGGACCGCTTCCTTTCCACTGTCCCCTCCTCACCTCCCCATGTCTCTTCTCTTCCAGGCCTCACTGTAGGGGAGATGTATTAAGGGCTTTACCTACATGTGCTTAAGTGGCATTTGTATAGCTGGGTAAGTGCCAAAAACTGCAGGTACACAGTTCAGATGCTATTTCTCTGTGGCAGAATAGGATCGCATGGGGGCATGCAAAACTGCCAGGAATAAAACTGAAGAGGATAGTTTCCTCTTAGTGATTAGAGCATTGGCCCAAAGAACAGTAGACCCACATTCTAGGCCCTCCTCATGCAGAGAGGGTTTCAACTTGCATCTCTCACTCTTTTCACCAAAGTGCTGTAGCCACCAGCCTGTAGCCTGGGCACTGCCCAGAGCACCCTCCAGGCTGCCGTTGAAGTTGGGCCACTGGACAGCCAGGAGGGGAAGTCTGTGTGTCGTCAGGAGGAGACAGTCAAGGCAGCAAGTTGTCTACCACTCTGGAAAGGCAGGGGCTTTGGGTTCTGACCTGTCTCCAAAAGATTGTTAGCTCCTTGCATTTAATATTCATTGGATAATGAGTACTGTGATGGCTGCCCCTTTAGAAAAGAGGTTTCTTTCTCATTGGCCAGGACCATCTCACTGAAACATGTTCTTTTTGGCTTTATTTGCTTCTTCCTAGCCCCACGTATCTTCCCTTTCTGGGTGCCTAGTGGGTGAGCTTCAAGAGAAGGCTGGAGGGTGCTCTGGGTAATGCACAGCCTGTGGCTGTGCTGGGAGAGAGGCAGGTTAACCCTTTCGGGGTGAAGGGAAACTAGAACCCAGGTATTCTTCTCCTTGGGTAAATGTAATTACTAAATGGTGGGAGGTGTTGTCCGTCGTCGTCCCCCCCCCACCGCTGCCACCAGCTTGTGGCTCTTCTGTGACTAATATTTTGGGATGCATCTATCTTTGCCTTCATGTGCGTCCAGGTGATCCTGTTTCACCCTGGAGCTTATGTGGCTAGAGTGCAGATGACTGAGCACATGCAGAAGGGAGGCATAGGGCAAACAGATCTACATGAATGCAGCAGAAATCCAAACCATGTGAGGGCCAAGAACTGCAGCCACCTGGGGATGTAAATGCCGCTTAGGCAGGTGAAGGTGAAAAGGGGTTTAGCTCTCCGTGTCTGCATTAAATCCTTGTAGGGATTTTTTTGGGTGTGGCATGTAATGTAGGCCCTTCCTAGCCTTTAATATCCACACTCTCATTGATTGCTTAAGGCAGAGCATAAGGGGGCTGAAGGGAGCTCCAATTTAGTACTGGGTTTGCAGACCCGCCTAGGGCAGGACACTAAGATGGGCTGCAGTAGCCACCTGGCTCCTTGCCCAGCTTTCTGGCTCTTGTTGACACGGTAGCTTGAGAAACCGCACTCCTGGACCTGCCAGCTTCTCTAGGCCCATGGCCTCGCAAGAAGCTCTATCATACCAAGGACCACCTACAAGCAGATGGCCTTCGTGTACAGCCCCTTTGGGGTCACATCAGTGTTGGTGCTGAGGCAGGACCCTGTTCTCTGTAGTCTGAAGGGACACGTCCCTGGCCAGGGTTCCTTTATTCTCCTCTGGGCATCTTTTAGAGTTGTGATGGCACCAGTAGGCTGCCTGCCTTGTCTCCCAGTTGACTATCTGGGACAGGGGCAACGATGTCCTCCCTCTGTGCTGATACCAGAAATGGCTTTCAGGAATCAGAAGATTTTGGTCAGGTTTGGGCTCCAAGGAGATGCAGGAATGATCCCACTGGCAGAGCCTGCTTCTTTGGTCTCATTTTAGCCCCTCTCCATTGAGGAGAGGGGTGTTTCAGTTGGAAGCAGGTTGATGCAGGGACTTTGCCTCCTTTGTCTGTCAAGCACCTTGCATGCTATTGGCATGATGCACTGGCAGGGCTGTCCAGAGGCCTGCATTCTAGCCCTGTATTGCAGATTTAGTCTCTTAGCTGCTGGCATAGGAGGCAAACAAGGATTCCCCTGCCAGAAACCCCTGCAGGGAATTAGCCTATTCTCCTTGCGTGCACTGTTAAAGCAGATCCTTGCCCTTCCGGAAATGTAAACTGTCATCATCCATAATTCATTAGGCACTCAGCCCTATCAACGAGCCATTTGACAGCAGGGCTGGGTGCTCCGGCTCCCTCCCGCAGGGTGGGAAAGCACTGGCCTGGAGCATTCCCAAGGGGCCATCACCAGGAAGCACGTCCTGTTTCCTCACCCCCGGGATAGGCAATTCTTTTGGTCAAAAATGCAAAAAATATGCGAATTGAACAAGGGCTGCAGTGTCTTTGCTTCCCCCTTTCATAAATAAACATCTGTTTCTCATCCCTCCAGGAAGTTTAAGCCATCATAAAGCCAAATATAAAACTGAAACAGTGTTTTTTAAGTAGCAGTAAGCTGATTGCTCCATTACTGTTTACTGAGGCATTTACAATTGCACACACAATGCGCTTCATATAAAAACATTATGGGACAGTGACTTTAATGCCTGAGATTTGCATTTAAGGTAGTGTGTGCTCATAACAGTGCAGGATCCAGACTGTGGGCATCATGCCAGCTCATGGAGAAATCAGGCAGAATACAGAATCATACCCCTCTAATTTATGACCTGTTCTCTGAATGCTGACACATCTTTTATGTAAAAAAAAAAAAAAAATAAAAAAAAATAAAAATAAAAAAATGGAGATCTGACTTTTCCCAGCATAAATCCAGAGCACAAGGCTTTTTTTTTTTTCCCCCTCCCTTCACCCCCCACGTCTTAACTTTTCTCAGCCCTTAAGGGCCAGTTCCCCACCATGAGAGGTGAAGTATGTGTGCAAGTGTTATAGCTATTTGGGTCTAGCTGAGGTGTCACATCAGTGAGTGTGTTTGTACACTACAGCTAAAGCAGCCAGTGCAGCTCGTCTCCCACTCCCCATCTCCTCTTGGCTATGCCTTCCAGCCATTAGCACAACAGTAATTGCCTGACAAATAATTGGGGACACTTTTGAACATTTGAGAGTCACTGTGGCTTACTTGCAGGAACTCCAGGCACCTCTTACCCTCTTGGGCTAGCATGCTCCAAAAGCACAGCATCCTTCCCTCTTGCTGCCAGATGCTTGCCAGGGAGGAAGGAGCACAAGTTTGCTCAATGGTCTTTCACTGAAAGATGCTTAAATCTAAGGACACCAAGACCAAAGCTTCTGACTTCCACACCTGAGTCCAGTGGGACAAATTTTCGGAGGGTATAACTCCGTTGGCTTCAATGGAGCATCACCACCAGAGAGCTTCACCGCTAAGTTCCCTCATCCTGGGCTAAAGTGGATGTGTGCGTCTGCCTTAAGATGTTATAGGTGGCTCTGAGGCACTGCTGAAGGGGATCTCCTAGTATAGTTTCAGCTCCTTCCCTGTAGCATTGCTGCTGTTGCTGCTACTGCTGTCTCTAGGTCTATCCCACAGCTCAGTGGCTGGAACTCCCTGTATATCTCCCTTCATGCATGACTGGAGAATGAGATTTTGGGCTAGCCTGTCATCTCTTCTGGTTGGGGGCTGGTATGTGGTAGGTATTTATCTTGTGTGTACCTGTGTACATGCTGCCACAGGGAGCTAGCACTGGGGCATGAATGATGGCATCCAGAGATCTTCAGGAAAGTAGATTTGCTTGTCCTGTGTAAAACTGCTCAGCCCTGGGGAGTTCTCTCTCCGATGCAGAAGCATGAGGGATGGTGATAGGGGTGCAATACACTGGGCTCTGGCAGAGGTCTAGGAAAGCTTGGGGTGGTACAAGAGCATCTGTTTCTCTATGCACCCCTTACTTTTGGCTGGTTTGGGACCCCAGGGTGCTGTGCATGAGCTCTGCTGAGCAGGACTGTGGAGAGTTCATCTGGGAGTGGCAGACTTGCTAAAAGGAGGTTGGGGGGCTGCCAGATCAGCATGTGATCCTGGTGTCTGTAAATGAACATCTTTGCAGAGCTTGCTGTGATTTTAGGGGCATATGGAGCTTCATTAGCTTGTGCCGCCAGGTCTTAAGCTACAAATGCAGGCACAGCTCTGAAAGTGGAGCCTCTGTATAGCACCCCTCACCCTGCTCCTGAAACCCAGGAAGGATTGAAGGCTCTGTGTGCAGTGAATATCACTGCCTCTTCCTTCAGCATGAACCAGGGCTTGCTGGGGAGGGGCAAACCAGGAGCGCAAAGAGCAGGTTTGGCAGCACAGGTTGTTCTGAGGGTGAAATCCAGCTGGTCCTCCAGAGACAGGGTGGGGTGAATGTGACACTGGTTGGGTGCTGGCCTGCGGAGCTGCTGCTCTCAATTTATAACTAGACTGCATCACAGTGATGCCATCTCCAGTTCCTATGGGCATCTGGCAGAGCTAACAGGCTACGGGCTTTGCCCCAGGCCAGAAACACCTTGCCAGCCTCATTTTGGCATCACTGGGTGTCTCTCCAACCCTCTGATGGCTGTCCTCCTACCTTTTTTGCAGGCTCTGCCTACTACGACAACGTCCGCCCCTTGGCCTACCCTGATTCGGATGCTGTGCTCATCTGCTTTGACATCAGCCGCCCAGAGACTCTGGACAGTGTGCTCAAGAAGGTCTGTGTCTGGCATGCACTTGTGTTCACTAACCAGTGATGTGGGGCTTCTCTGCTGCAGTTCGCAATAGTTCAGCCCAGGGGCTTGCTGTTCCTCTAGGGACTGCTACCTGATGATAATGCAGTAGGCCACGATTTGTAGTAAGGCATTCAGCACTGGCAAACCTCTGGCTCTGGATCCACATCAGCCTTGGCTGTGGTCTGGTATAAACCCAGAGCACTGCCCAACTTTCTGCTTGCTGGGGTCATGCCAAATATCCCTGGGCACCTTTGTTTTCCCTCACAGCTGTAAAAGGATCTTTTCTCCCTGATACCTGAGCCCTCTGTCCCCCTCGTTTTCATGTCAGCGTTGTGGAGAGGGCAATGGTTTGCCCACTGCAGGCTGATGACAGAGACCATTGAAGGTGACATTGGTTTTCAGGCCTGTCTGCATTAGCATCATCCCAAGCCAGGAGGCAGAGGTCAAAAGTCAGTGCCTTGGAGCTCAGATTCTGCTGCTGGCCCTTGGGAATATACATCTAAGCTCAGTAGTCAGGCCTTTGCATTGGCTGCAAATTACTTGAAGTGCAATTCAGTACCTCACAACAAAGCTGTTCTGCACAGCTGGTAGGTGTTCCAGCCTGGGACTGTGGTGCCTCAGGCTAGCATCCCAATTGGTTTGACAGTGCTGAGCAGCGTCAAGGTGGAAGGCTACTGAGAAGAATCCACAGTGCAGAAGGGAGGGTGCTGAAGTCCTTTTCATAGGCTGGCACTGACCCCAGCAACCCTGAATGCTGCTTCTGGGTATCATGCTACTGGAGCTGCCTCCTTTTCTGGTGAGCTGTGAAATCCATCTCCTGATTATTTATGGTCCCTGACAACCCCAGGGTGCCTTGGATGACTCCAGTGCTCTGACAAATGTGTGCAACCTGGTGAAGCTCCTCCTGCACCTGCTGATGGGTTCTCACCACTGTGGGGCATTGTTAAATAGTTACTGCATTGTATTGGGGTGGGGAGATGGGGTGAACTGGCTCAGATCTGTTTGTTTGGCAGAGTGCTTTGGGAGTCTGGGGAGTAAAAGGTATGACAGAGCCCTAAGCCAGGGCTGTTGAGCTGGTGGCTGATAGGCTATATGAAGCCTGTAAATGAGCGACTCACAGCCCACAGGCTCCTGTCCCGGTGCCGGTACCCTGCTGCTGCTGTGATCATCGCCACCACCCCTCCCTCCCCCAGCTTCCATTTCTTGCCCCAGTCTGTGGTGGCGGGGTGGGGAGTGGCTTGTTGCAGGGGGCCAGTGACATGACTATATGACATGTGTCCCAGTGATCCTCTGAAATTGGACAACCCTGACCTAAGCAGTTGCTGTTGTTGCCCTTGCCAGTTAGCCCAGGTTGTGGGACTGGGTCAGGCTCTGCCTCTGAATAAGTCACACTGTAGTTCCTGACCCTGCACCCCTGCCCAAACTTTACCAACTGCTTAGCTGAACTAGATACCTCTTGTTTAGTGCATCCTGCTAGGAGGGTGTGTTGGGAAGTTAGGCTAGGGCTGGGATGTCCTGGTTTAGGGGACAAAGACCCCTTCAGACCTGCAGTCAGCATTGTAGTGATGGAATCCAAGTTGCTCCCTGTGTTTGGCTCTGGCTGGTGAGCTAGTGGCAGACTGCATGTGGCTATTGCCCAGCTTTGGATTCTGCAGAACAACCATATAAGCAAACTGTTTGCGCCTTAATGAACAGCAAACCACCCATAATTAGTGAGAACTGGGACTTATCTGTGTGTTTCTGCAGACGCTCCGTATACGAGAATTTGCACTGCTAAGCGTCAGCTTTTCCCTGTGCAGCCTTCCCAGGTGCCTCAAATACTACTAGGCAACGGCTTTTTGATATGGTGACTTAAGAAATCCCTTGTGATTTAGGGTTTATTTTAAGTACCTCTGAGTAGCTGCCTCACTACTTTTGGCGCAGGTTTACAGCTGCCAGAGGTGAGGAAAATTCCTAAGGCACAGTGAAGTGGAAATGGGGTTTAGCGTTTGATATCAAATGAAGAAGGAGAATAAAGCTGCCTATTCCAGCCGTGGGCCAAGATGCTAATTCAGCAGAGGGAGTCTTTATCATCATTGCCTGTCTGATGCCTAGGATGCAAAATCAGAACTGGCTTTTGATTCACCGAATCATAGCTTATATAAACGGCACGTAGCAGCGAGGGGGAAGGAGCCACCTGAGAGAATCCAAACAAACAGCTTTCCAGTTTATACAAACTTGGCTTTCATGGGGTAATGCCTTCATCCTGGCAGGATTGGCAGCACATGTCTCTCTGTCTTGCATCTAAAGCAAACTCCGGGGCAGAATCGGGCCCCTTTCTCTACCGTGCAGGGACTGCAGCTCATTATAGCCAAAAGGGCTCAACCTAGATGGTCTTTGGAGACCCAGATCTGCACACTAGGCTGTCTTCTATAGTGAAACCCAAAACAGGGCCCCAAGTGGCAGGCTTGGCAGGTGTGGAAGGCAGATCTGGAACAGGCAAATGGAAAGTTTCCTCTTGGACGTGATGATTCTTGCCAATGCCTGTAACACAGTGCTCTGGTAAACGAGCTACCTTTCAGATACCTGTTGCCCTGCATAGAGGAGATGCACCCTCTCTAGTGTGGGTATCTTGGCCTCCAACACCTGCTTTCCCAGGCATCTCCCACTGGGGGCTTCTGTTATGTTCAGAGGTCAAAGCCAACTATCCCTGTGTCTCCCTGTGCTGAGCTGCTCCTAGGGTGCACATAGGTGGGGGGCTGTAACTCAAAGTGAGGAGGAGGGTCCCCTCTGGCCCACCCAGCTTCAGCCAGTCCAGATGAAATCTTCCTGACACTCTTATCTTGGGGCTCTGGCCACTTGTCACTTAGATTACTGCTGCTTCCTCACTCTGGAGACCTGGGAGGTGCTGGGCTCTGCCCCTGGGCAGGACAATAGCTGTGCCAGCTGCCTCAGGATCTGGTAGCCTGATTCCAAATTAAACATCCAGGCAGGCCTTCCCCCAGCACTGATTGCAGGTGGGAACGGCAGCTGGTCCAGTGATGTTGGGCCCAGCTTCTGTGGGTGGAAAAGATGGATTCTCAGGGGAGATCAGCCAGGGTCATGTTGGCTTGGCCACTCTTGAGGGGGCTGGAGCCAAGCTGGGTAATGCTAAAAGAGCAGCAGAGCCTGTTTCTGAACATGACTGCTTCAGGAGGGCCTAGGGCTACTCTGTGCTGCTGAGCACTTCCCAGGCCCATGCTTGGTAACCCTCTGGCCCATCAGTGACCTTACCAGTCAGCCTGGGGGACTAACCCTCAGTGCCTCTGAGCATTCTCCCCCTGGGGTTAGGTCAGGACATGGGACTAAGATTGCTTTGGGTTGGAGGGTGCTGGCTCTTGTAGGGCAGCAAGGAGGGTGTGAGGATGCTTTTACCTTTTCTCCCTTTCCTACTTGCCACACAGATGTCAGCCATGGCCTGGCTGCTGTTCCACGTTGTCTTCAGGGTATGGGGACTGAGTGGGACTGGTGCTGGTAGGAGCACTAGTCACCACACATGGCTGGGTATGCAAGCTGCTGAACTCCCAGCAGCATTTTGCAGGTGGATTGGCAAGTGGCATGGCACCTTGGTGTGCAACCTGCAGGAGTCTGGGCCCTTCCATGAGAGCACAGCACTGTTGAAGGAGACTGTGTCCCTCTGGTACTGACACAGAATAAGCAGCTGACAGTCCTGGCGGAGGTGAGGCACTCGGAGAACTGTTTGCTCAGGGCCCGGAGGGAAATTTGCCAAGATGAAGGATGAAGAGAAGTTGGAGACCCAGCTGAAAGCAGCGCTCCATCCCTGTGGACTGTGACTCTCCAGAGCTCCATACTGGGCATCAGAGTTTTTATAAAACTCTGGAGAGTTTTATAAAAGAAGACAGAATGGAGAAACAGCCAGTTTCCAAAGCTCCACACTTAGCTGCTGCCTGTGCTGACCCTGCCCTGGGACACAAGTTATGCTGCAAGACCTCCTGGCATGGACTGTTATGGTAGTTAGAGCAGGCAGGGCGGGAGAGACTGGGAGCCAGAACTCCTGGGTTCTATGCTTGGCTGTGGGAGGGCAGTGGAGTCTAATGGATTAGAGCGGGGGAACTACGAGAGCTCTGCAAGAGTAGTGGGGCTGAGGCTGGAGTTGGGTATGGTGCAATATGGGAGACTGGGTTCTGTTGTTGGCTCTGAGAGCAGCAGAGCTGGCAGGTGCTGTGCACTAATGAAGGAGCACACTCATTCTGTAGCCATGACTCTCCCTCTGTGACTGATCCCTGTGTTGGGTGTCTGTCTGGCCTGGAAGGGGCTGGACCCAAAAGTTGAGATTCTGCAAATGCCTCTTGCTGACTTGGGCTGTTCCCTGTTCCACCCTTGTCACAGGGGGAGGGCGGAGCATTTAGCTACCCTTGACGAGGGTGATATAAGCTGCTGCTGAGCCCCTGCCTACTGTACTTTTTCCCGCAGTGGCAAGGGGAGACCCAGGAGTTCTGCCCCAATGCGAAGATTGTGCTGGTTGGCTGCAAGCTGGACATGCGGACAGATCTGAACACCCTGCGGGAGCTCTCCAAGCAGCGCCTCATCCCTGTCACACATGAGCAGGTGAATCCCATATCATGGAAGTGAATCTCAGTTTTGTCTTGGGATTGTGTGAGGGAGCAGAGAGGGGGAAGGAGGGTTGGCATGTCTGCTCCAAACCCCACCAGTGAGAGGAAATTGGGCTGCTCAGAAGCAGCTGGCTCAGCTCCCAAGCCCTGGGCTGCAAATGACCCTTTATTGCTCCACTCCTTATCTGAAGACTGGTTTGGCCTTGGCCCACAGGACAGATTTGGAGCAAGCAGGTGGCTCCCACTCATGGATGCACTCCTCTGTGCCCTCAGAGAGCTTGGCATATTCTTAGCACTCTCACTGAATATTCACTGCATGGGCCTCTCCCAGAGCTGCTGTTGCTGCTGTGTGCAGGTGTCACTTCCTAGTTCACAGCTAGCAGCTAAAATTACCTTCCTAGAAGAGGATGGAGCTGCTTGATCTCACATGTGAAGCAGGAGGGTGGGGAGTGGGGGAGGGCTTGGTGGGGGGAGGGGACTTCCAGGGTGGCCTGCTGCTAGGGCAAGAAAGGCTTTCTCCAGGTCTTGATGAGGTCTCCATCAGCTCCCCAGATACAGCTGGCATTGGGGAGACCTCAGTTGGCTTGGCTGCAGCAGTCTCAAGGGAATGACAGCTGCGGGCACATGCTTCTGTTGATGGGGGCAGAGCCATCAGGTTGAAGGCCAGTATTGGAGCAGTGCCAGCCGATTGGGGGTTTTGGGGTTTCTGAACATGAGCAAAAGACCTTGGCATGGAGCAACCTATGCACAAGATCCAGGAGGACCATGGCTAGGATTCACTTTTTCTTCCAGCCACTGGAGGCAGGCTGGCAGGTGCTGAAGTGCACAAGGCTTGCCCTCAGGCCTATTGTGCCATCAGCCCCTCAATGGGTGTTTTTTATATACATGCA